TATTCAGTACCTACACGTACTTGCTGTCAGTCCTTTTGAAGTCAAATGCAATGAAATCCTGGACTGAAAATGTTGAAAAAACTGCTTCACACTTTCTAAACTATCCTTTAACCCACTAGTTTTAGGGTGCTCCGGCTGTTTGACAGATTGATTTAAAATTCTCAGGGATGATTTGATGAAAGTCTTGTCTACCCATTTCATGGTGAACTGTTTGACAGATCAATTTTAAATTATCAGGCAGGCAAGTAGCCAGATGGAGTGGAGGGAGCAGCCGCTCCTCCCCCCCTCGCCCTGGGCAGAAATTCTTTGAAAATCATGCAGTTTTTCACCATTCTGAGCACTTTCGCACAATGTTTTAGCCAAAATTGTCAGATAGCTCGCCCTTCTTGGTTAATGTTAAATTGGTCTTTCTGTCCCAAAAACTATCCACAAGGGGTCAGAATGTTCATTTTGTGTCTTGTGTAAGTCTTGTCTAGCATTTGATGGCTTGATCTGAAATTCTTAATGATGTTTTTGGTATGAAAGTTAAGAACTGATCAGTTTTTATTTATTCTGTGTATGTTTGATTATTATTTCTCTTCAAAAGTACAATTTATCAATTTTTTTATGTTTCAGGTTCTGTTTACTAATTATGCACCAGAAATATATAAGAAATGACATCATTGCATGTAATTCATCAAATCCATCAAAATAGGATATCTACAGTATATAAAGTAAAAACTCATTTTTCAAAAATGTGATATCAGGAAATTTAAATGTATGAAAACTGAACACTCTTGAAAACGTTGCTCTTACGCTTTAGCATGGAGCCACCTATTGCCAGTATATGACCACCTTAACCATAAAGGTAATAAATAATTAAAATCATGAATCATAAAGATGATATGATAACCCTGTTTCATTATACGATGAGTTGCTTGTGGTATTTTTGCTTTTTTGTAAGTGCCTGGGAAACACTTGCATACTAATTACTGATTCATGTTGAGGCAAGGGCGTTACAATACCCGGGAATTTATCGGTTCGTGCAGTACTTGTTTGTGATAGCGCCCTCTGTAGGTCACTGTGCTTATAGCCTACAGTAATACGGGGTAGGATATCGGGAATTCGGTCAGTTTCTATCCGTCAATTTCGCTATGAATTGAAGCAAGTGTGACCACTTTATCCACTTAAACAATTTGATAATTGATTAAATATTTAAACAAAATCGATAAACACGTTATACACTTCCTATCTCCTTAGAAATTAGCATGTATTTATGGATTGTGTTTTCGAACAAGGCTCGACCCAAACCAATAGGGAAATCCTTATGCTAATTAGTATGACGTCATATTTTCCTGGGGAATCCTAGATTTCAAAGCCTCAGTCTGTTATTGTGTCAAATGTAAACGCTCTTTTGCAGACAGAAAATTGACAGATTAACTTTTAACTTTCAGCTTTGATGTTTAAATATTCTGTATTTCTACCGGACTTCTTGCTGAATATCATATAATGTTATAACTTGATTTGGATCATTGCCTGATTGCTCATTCTGAAATTTTGATTGTGATTCATGATTGATTGGCAAGAAAAATAATTCCTATTGTTTTCCAGCGAAGTCAAAATGTTACAGCATGAGTTATAATGTCGAGTTTGCATCATGTTAAATTCTGCTAGTGATTAGAAGTCCATGCACAAGCATACACATAAGAGACAAACACACCCAGGCTCCAGGCCGTGGATGGAAATATAAAACTATTTAAGGCACAAACTGGTATTAATAGACCGATATGTAGTGTCTGCCATGTATTGAAGGTAAACCAATCTGCATTATTAATGTTTCTTCTATCAATACATGGATTGTGCAATGGAAAAGCAATGGCACAATCAAAAATGTGCATATCAATCGTGAATATCTCTCGGTTCAAAGCTTATTTCCAACAGAATCGTGTCAAAATATGTGTCTGAGTAACAGTTATACATTATAAGATCGCAAACTCTTACCAATTATCAGCCGAATGGCTCATTTTCAACGAAATGTCCTTAAGACAACAGCCCTGGGTCGCGCCTGAGACCAAAAACTATTTCAAATAGCCCTCCCCTAATTATATTGGATAATCACATTTATGCGTGCGCGCGCAGCTCATCCACTGAACGAAACGCCACTTCCCGCTGAAATCACCGGGTATTGATCTTTCCCTTGGTTGAGGGTTGTGATATGAGCATCAACACAAGTGTGAATCAGACAGTAAATGGTCTTCTCAATGACAAATCAACTCAACCCATTAATCAGCTTTTTAAAGTTGTTTTTTAAAGTTTTGAATATTATGTTAATTCATAGAAAGTACTAGTATGTAAAATATGAATTTCAGAGAAAATAGATAATTTTATTAGGAATATTATTTTTTTAATGACAATATCTTATGTAATAATGCATTCTTGTCACTGGAAATTTTTAATTTTAGTTTTATTGCAGTATTTAATGACAGTCTATATAAGAATGTATTGTATTTAAGAATGCATTTGTATTAAGCAAATATTTCATTCTATGGAGGGAAATACCTTTTCATCTTTCAATGATTTTTGCAGTGTTGTATGTCCCGCAGTCCATAGGGCGAGGGAAGTACATGCTGCAAAAATACGCTTTTATATTTTTGATCACATGGTACTGAAACAGCCAATCAAATCACATGATTTCTAGCAATGATATAATGATATGTTTTACCTAAGATGAAAATGTCAATACAACCTAAGTTAACTGGTCAATGATTTCAAGTGCAATGTGGTTTGAGGAAATGGTTGAGATGATTTAGGTTAAGTTGTACCCAGGAAGCTGTCAAGACAATTTAATGAATGTTTCTAATTGTGAATGTTATTACAATGCGGTTAATTTGGACCTGTTAGAAGATAATTTCCACCTTGGGCCCATTTTATGCTAAAATTGAAATGAAGAGGCTGATTAAAGGCAACTTATATAACTTCCATGGGACTTGATATGATGAATTGTAATTGTTTTGATACACCAAGAAATTTCCCCATTGTATTGCATCTAAATAGCAATAGCAATTACAGTAAGAACTTCTTTTTATTATCATTCCTTAGATAATTGACTTAGGTTCGTTGCCCAGTAAAGATTTAATTTACGAGGAGCTATTAAGAGGGGTGGCTTTTTAAGTAAGGGAGATCTAGTATGATTGATAACCCTTTGAATATGGGAGGCCTAGTGTTATAACCCAAGAAAAGTCTAGTATGATAACCCTTGGAATTAAAGGAGGTTTAGTATGACAACCCTTGGAAGTAAGGGAGGTCTAGTGTAATAATCCAAGGAAAGTGTAGTGTGATAACCCTTGGGATCAAAGAAGGTCTAGTGTGATAGCCCTTAGAATTAAAGGAGGTTTAGGATGACAACCCTTGGAAGTAAGGGAGGTCTAGTGTAATAATCCAAGGAAAGTGTAGTGTGATAACCCTTGGGATCAAAGAAGGTCTAGTGTGATAGCCCTTAGAATTAAAGGAGGTTTAGGATGACAACCCTTGGAAGTAAGGGAGGTCTAGTGTGATAACCTTTGGAATTAAATGTGGTCTCACCACATCCCCCATGCTGCCTCAAAATTGAAGACTTCTTCCATTGGCCCGTTTATATTGAAGGCCCTGGGTGGGTGAAGCAAGCAGGGGGTGAAGCAAGCAGATGGGGAACAGGAGAGTTAAATTGAGTGAGCAGACGGGCGTGCCATGGAATCAGATTCTGGGGAGAACCCAGAACTAGATTAAAGAAATTGCTTTCTATAAAAAATCGAATACTGCATACATATATGTACATACAAATTATCGTAGGATGAATAAGATATGGTATGATTTCTCATATCATTTTCATCAACTCATTACTAATAAAAAATAATATCAATCAAAATAATATGATATCACAAAATTTTACATGAGAAGAGCAGAGGAGATTAATTTCTGTTTTTACTATTCTCTATTCCTGTTCTTATCAACAAAATATAGTCCTTCATTGAAAATAATGTTATTGTGACCCAATGGGATTGCTCAATTGTCCGTTTGTCTGTCCATCAATCCATCTGTCAATCACTTTAAATGAATGAAAACTGCCTGAAGTCTTAAATACTCACGTCCAATTATAATATAATGGTAATTTACACTACTTGTCCTGGCTTTTGCTTTGCCTGGTTTCAGAAAAATTACCTTTGATGTTGTCAAAATCACAAGGAATACCATGTGAGTTCACTGAACTGTGGCAATTATGAATGGTGGCAATGTATAATTATATCAGAAGATAAGTATGTATTGTAAAGTATAGGACTTGGCAATAATCACTTTAATCATACTTTGTATTGTCTGTAAATGATAACTTTTATGCCCTTAAACAATGAAATGACAGTAGATAGTGGCACCTCATTAATGGCCATAAATGTGTAAAATGAGGACACACGTGATTGAAGATTGTGCCTGTAATTGTATATTATTCAGAGGACAGGATTTTTCATTATTTGATAAACGAAACATATGGGCTATGACCTTAAAACTAGAAAATTCAAATATCCTATCCAGCTTTTTCAATGCTCCCAAATGCAGACTCTGTATATGACAGTGGGGAAAGTAAATTTTTCAGGTTTCTATTCTCTAAGTCATCTTTTAATGTTAGTTCAGCCATTGCTAGTTGATAGATACGTTATTGATTCTTATTAATGGAGATAGTACACAAATAAGGTCATCAATTCTCTGAATCTGTGCTTTTGGATCTAATGCTAATGCCGCTGTATTGAATAGTTGCATTGGGTTTGCTTTCCTCTTGGTTCAGTTTATGTAACATTTCACCATTTTACATCTCTTCATGGTTCTCCCTGATTTTGTGCTTCAATATTTAGGTCTTTATTTTGTTCCTTCATTGCAGTAGTTCCAAAATTAGGACTTTGATGGTTCTCATGATTTCCAAACAGATTCAAAGGGGGATCTCCAGTTGCCAAACTTATGGAAGTGGTGTACATGTATATTATGTGTTATTATAGGATGAAGACATGACAAAGTCTGAAGGCCCTAGTATAGAAGAGCTGGTTGCTGAGGAAAATGTTGACATTCTTGATTACATTGCGTGGAAGGATAGTGGTGACACTCATGAAAGACCACAAAGGGTAATTATTTTTACAATAACATGGAATGTACATGTATTTAACTTTCACTTAATATACAGATTCCTTTAATACAATGTCCAAATTCTCTATTTCTGTGTTATGATCTTCACAATTGTGCACTAAGTCAGACACATCTATCCTTTATCATGTTCAATTCGCACACAAGACATTGTAATGTGTTAATTTATTCACTAAATGAATGCTTACATACAGGACAACATTATACAGAAGCTACATGTCGATCCATCCATATATTTTTACTTCATTGTAAGCTTTTTTAATATGAATAGTATTTGCCACTATTCCATTCATATTTAAATTAGTTGGTCATGAAATATTAGGTTGATACGGTAGCCAACAGCTGAAAGTTGCATTCGCTAATACAAGCTTAGAAGGAAACACTGTATTTGCTTGGGGATAAATTCTTTATGTGTGCAAGTTTGATCATCCTACTCATCTCACTTCTTATGCATAATATATTTGACAAAAAAAGTTAGAGTATTCATTGTGACTACAAGTAAGGAACATATAGATTATTTTCTGCGAGGTTTGGAATATTGGGATTATCCTGAGTCCAATATAATACTATATCTTCTTGGGGCTCTGACTCTTGGACAAATGACCAAGAGATAATCCTGATATTGTAAACTACTAATAATCTATTAAGATAATCTGAGTATTTTGGTTACATTGTCCATAAACATTTAGAGCACTGAGGAAAGAGTCATCGATCTTGCCGCGCAAGCCAAGAAAGAAGAGGAATGTGACTATGTCAGCCAAGCTCTGAGGAGTTATGAAGAAGCCATTGAATTAGCTGAGAAAGATCTACCCCCAACTCACCCACTGTGCTTAAGCACGAAATTGAACCTGTCAGTGTTTTACGATGATGTCATGAAAGATAAAGACAAAGCATATGCCACATCTAAGGAGGCATTTGACAGTGAGTAACATGTTATTAGAGTATGTCATAAGAATGTTACATCCGCATGTGTTATTGCCCTTATAATTAAAAGACATGACCACCTATGTATTAAAATTGAACATGTTTTCTGTCAATGTCATCACTCAACTGTTGTGTCAATGATTTACATATCAGAATTGCAATGTTTCCCTCTTTGATTCATTTAAAAGTTCAGCATTCTTTGCATGTACAGTCTTCTTTTATATATGTGTAACATTTAAGTCTCAAAATTCATTTCATTGTATAAAAATTGTACCAGATAGCAATTGTAGAATTGTTCATTTGTAGATGCTATCAGTGAACTGGACTGCCTTAGTGAGGAGAGCTATGGGGAATCAACCAGGATCATGCAACTTCTCAGAGACAATATCACATTGTAAGTGTCTAGTGTCTAGTCATTATACATTTAAGAGAGAATCTTCTTTGGCAACTAATAATACTCTTTGAGCCGAGCCAAAAGGACATTATAACTTATGGGAAATATTATACTGTGAAATAAAACTTAACTAAAAAAATCATCCAGAAATTATGACGTTTTCCGAGAGCTCTTTGACAATATCCAATCAGAAAAATTATGTATTTGTAGAAATCATGACACCACATTCTGTCTCAAAGTACCGTAACTAATAATCATTTCTCATTTACTGATCCCTAATTATAACTGTGTGTTTTACTGTAATAAATGGCTTTTTGACAGTTCTTCAATTGTATCTACATGTAACAGGGTTCCAGTTTTATATATTTTCTCAAGAATTTTACCGCAAATAATGTGACAAAAATGTAAAATTAGACTCAAGAAAAACACTTAAGACTCAAGAAAAGCTATTTAGACTCTGGAGCAAGAGAGTCTAAAGACTTTAGACTCAAGAGAATCTCTGAGAGTCTAAAAGCCTAGTGAGAACCCTGTGTAATGCATTTGGAATTTTTACTGCTATATGGATTTGTTGATTATTGCATAACATTTTCATATAAAGGATCAATTGATTGCTTCACTATTTTTCTTGTATGCCATATCTATTATTTAAGTGTATGGAACTTGTTGGTGAGCTCATGTTTTCTGAGCATAGGTTGTATTCTTTATTTGTAGATGGGGTTCTGAGATAAAACCACTGCATGAACCTGGTAAGTGTGATGTATTCAAGTTGAAGGTGTATCTCGTTAAAGGAATATTCCTTGCCAAACCATCTCTCTCCTCATATGGTAGCTATAACCATATATATGCTTGCCATGTTTAGCAAAACACGCAAAAATGTTTTGATATGGTCAAATTTGATCACTTAGAAATGTGATGCTCAATTCCAGTAAGCTGCCATCTTTTGAAATTTCACACAGGAAGTGATGTCATCGACTCTCAACATTGTATATAGCATTGGGTGAGGAGCTATTAAGAATTACAAAACCAGCTAAATATTCTTTTTCAACTTTGTATCTTATTTAATCCTCCTGAAAATCTCTTCTTTTATTCTAAGTTGACAAGCCCTGAAAATATTTTTGCACAGAAAGTAGGCTAATGATCACTTGTCTAGAAGTGATTTTGGTCTACTTTCCTATACTGTTATGGGCAAGGTTATAGAAGTTGAGAGTTGATGACATCACTTCGTGCAAGAAATCTTAAAAGATGGCAGCTCACTGGAAATAAGCACTAGATTTTTAAATGATCAATATTGACCATATTAAAACATTTTCCCATGTTTTGCTAAATATGGAAACTATATATATGATTATAGCTACCATATCAAGAGAGAAAGGATCTGGCAAGGAATATTCCTTTAATTCTTGAAATATGATTTTGCTACAATATCAATTCTCTATATAAGCATTAATGCTCATTTATACTCGTAGATTCTTCATGGTTTGATGAATAAATGTCTTTATGAAACAACTTTAACATTATGTTGTAATCTGCAGACTGTAGTACATGTTTTGGGCTATTACATGTATTTAGGATATTGTTATTGTATTGAACAGTTCTATTTTGAGGTTACCATGGAGATGAACAATACTTTGATTTGTTTCTGCCTATTCTTAACACATCTATTATCAGTGCCAATTATTAGACTCCAGATTGAATATCTGGAGTCTATTGCTTTTTCCTGTATTCTTATTATTCCTTTCTTAGTAAATCTATTTGTAAATGGGTGATCTACTTGCTCAGATATCAAAGGTCAAAATCTGAGTCATATTTATATTTTTACAAATTTTTCAGTTTCTTTCAAATCTTCCAAAATTTCTTGCGAGGAATTATTTTCTAAGCCCCTTAGGTATTTCCAACAATTTCTTCCGTTTATGTCTCTTTGAGAACTTTACAAATTTTGAGAATTTTGACTACCAAAAAGGGTGAATTATAAAGTGCTCCACATTTATCAAAATTAAAATATTTTGGGAAATTTGCTCGAAGTTCCGTCATTTTCCTAATTTTCGCAATTACCACTCTACTGTTCAATATTTTGCTTTTAAACTTGGTATAGTGATAGACAAATAGATGATAAAAGTGTTCGTTTTTTTCATCATGAGGTAATTCAAACCAGTTTTGATATATGGCATCTATAAAGTAAGTCAGTGTAAAATTTGTCCATTTTATTTCTCATTTTCTCATCAAAATCTTTTTAAACTGGAATCTGGAGTCTTGAATTGAACTAAATTGTTCAATTTCACCTATCTAGTTATTATAATATGTAACTCAAATGAATACACCATATCACGCTACAGTTAATGTGTAAGATTTCTCATTATTGATTCTGAGTTGTATAAGAGTGCTTATTTATCAAAATAATTATACATTTTTTCCTTTTTATCCCACTGAAGAAAATGAGTAGGGATATAGAGAAGTCATCCATCTGTTTATCTATTCATTTGTCCAGACAATAACTCATATACTGCTTGTCAGATTTGGTTTAGATTTCCAAGCCTAATACATTATGGGCACAGAACCCCTTGTCCAGAATGAATTCCAATGTGGATGCTCAATTCAAAATGTCAAAAAGTCCACTTTTACATAAAGCTATGAATTTATGATAACTTAAAAAGCATTTGTCAGATTTGGTTCAGATTTTATTTGCTGATGCTTATGGCATAAAACCCTGCTCAAGAATGAATTTTCAAAATGGCTGCTGAATTCAAAATGGCCACCATTTTGGAACAACTATAATTACTGATACCACAAATACTGGTTTGATTACCAAATTGTATAGGCTAATGACTTTTAGACATTATCATATGACCTCTACTCAAGAAAAAATTTCTGAGTATGATGTCATGTCATGTCTTGGGTGTAAATTTTGTCAAAAGAAGACAAATAGCTACTGCTTGACGTTACATTATCTATATTCAAAATGATGAATGATATGGTGAAACACATGCTTCTCCCGAGAGTTGCTGCTTTTCTAGTTTGAAAACAGTCTACAGAAAATATAGAGCTTGAGGGCTGGAGTATCAATTTACTAGATTATGGTGTTGCTGATATATGATATAGGAGTCTCTGAAGGGACACATATTACACATACTGGATGTTCATGTACATGCTTTGATGATAGTATTTATCTATTGAGTCTGAAGAGAATTTTTGTTACTATTAAGATCTATGTAATGTATGGACCATGAGTACTGCCTGTTAGGTGAAATAATGGCCAAGGGTTAAAAGTCCGAAGCTGATATTTCTCCTAACAGCCAGTACAAATTGTTTATATTACTTAAAAACCCTCCCTGACTCTTATGGAAGGTAAATGAGCCATGATCCATTTAAGCGTACACTGTACTTTTTAGCTTTAAAGTTCTTTTGTATTCACCATTCAAATATTCATCCCTCTTTTGTGCCACACTGGTTTTTGATACATGTAGCTTGTCAAGTGTCTATTCTTTAAAAATGATTGACAACAAATTTTTTCTTCTTTTGTTACAACCATACATTTTTTTAATAAAATAAAGTTCATCCAGTTGAATGGATGTCATAAATAAAAATATTTTGATGGAGTTGTGCCAAGAATATAATCACGCATATTCTGATATAAGAATAGCTTAATTATTTCAAGGGTATCTTTAATTAACATATTTTATAATGGAGTTGTGCAATTAACAACTATTAACAACTTTTTGTATTTATTAGTGAATATTAAAAATACCCACTTTAATACTTGCCTCATTCTGATACTTATCACCTCTTATTGATTCACCAGAAACATGCTCTCACGCGGTACTAACTTCGACCATTAATTTGAATTTTTGACCTACCAGATGCTTGTGAATCAAGGATTGTGAGTCTCATACTGCACCGTTTTTCTTCAAACTTATACCATTAAAAGCAAAACAAAATTGCCTTTCTGTCGGTGCATTGCTTTATTGTAAAGAGTCCCTCGTTCTAGCAGCCTTTTGGTCCCCAGCTGTTAGAAGGGCTTCTTACAGCTGGGGACCAAAATGCCGCTGGAAGTAAGGACTCTTTTTAAGAGAATAATGTACCATCAGAAAGGGATTTTTGTTATGCTTTGAATGGAACAGGTTTGAAGAAAAACAGTGCAGTATGAGACTCGTCATCCTTGATTTCCAAACATCCGGTAGGTCAAAAATTCAAATTAACGGTCGAAGTTAGGACCGCGTGGCTCTGATATTATGAGATATGTTCTTTGATATGAGCTCATCTGATGGGAGGAGTTGCAAAAGCCTTACTTTAATTTCAATTATACATTCCAGTCGTATGGTCCATGGATGTCATAAGTCTTTTCTTCATCTCAATTATTTCAATCAAATGAACAACCAGTTGCATATCCATATGTGTCACAAGCCTTGGCTTCATTTCAATGAAATGGACAACCAATTGCATATCCATATGTGTCACAAGCCTTGGCTTCATTTCAATCAAATGAACAACCAGTTGCATATCCATATGTGTCACAAGCCTTGGCTTCATTTCAATGAAATGGACAACCAATTGCATATCCATATGTGTCACAAGCCTTGGCTTCATTTCAATGAAATGGACAACCAATTGCATATCCATATGTGTCACAAGCCTTGGCTTCATTTCAATGAAATGGACAACCAATTGCATATCCATATGTGTCACAAGCCTTGGCTTCATTTCAATGAAATGGACAACCAATTGCATATCCATATGTGTCACAAGCCTTGGCTTCATTTCAATGAAATGGACAACCAATTGCATATCCATATGTGTCACAAGCCTTGGCTTCATTTCAATCAAATGAACAACCAGTTGCATATCCATATGTGTCACAAGCCTTGGCTTCATTTCAATGAAATGGACAACCAATTGCATATCCATATGTGTCACAAGCCTTGGCTTCATTTCAATGAAATGGACAACCAATTGCATATCCATATGTGTCACAAGCCTTGGCTTCATTTCAATGAAATGGACAACCAATTGCATATCCATATGTGTCACAAGCCTTGGCTTCATTTCAATCAAATGAACAACCAATTGCATATCCATATGTGTCACAAGCCTTGGCTTCATCTCAATTAAATAAACAACCAGTTTCCTATCCATATGTGTCACAAGCCTTGACTTCATTTCAATCAAATGAACAACAATTGCATATCCATGTGTGTCACAAGCCTTGGCTTTAACTCAATTTAATGAACATGCTCTGATATTATGAGATATGTTCTTTGATATCAGCTCATCTGATGGGAGGAGTTGCAAAAGCCTTACTTTAATTTCAATTATACATTCCAGTCGTATGGTCCATGGATGTCATAAGTCTTTGCTTCATCTCAATTAAATGAAGAACCAGTTGCCCATCCATATGTGTCACAAGCCTTGGCTTCATCTCAATTAAATGAAGAACCAGTTGCCCATCCATATGTGTCACAAGCCTTGGCCTCATTTCAACCAAATGAACAACCAGTTGTATATCCATATCTGACATAAGTCGGTTAGATATTCATAAGTGGCATCAGCCTCTGATACAGAATCTTAAAATCAGAGCATGATAATAAAGCCAAGGCAGAATCTTGGAAGTTTTGATGAAATACTAGTAGCCATGAATGATGTGAGCAATAATGTGAATCCTAAATATTTCAAAAGATTACCTAATAGCTCGTATCCTTTATTGTCCTTCTAGTTAATTAAGATTTTTACAGATAGTATATTTATTTTATCTCTAAACTTTGAGTACAAGATAGCTTGCCAATTTTATCTATGGCTTTATTCACCCTTGGTATACGCAGCTGACGAAATGGACCGGTACGGGTCAAAAGCTGGACCGGTTCGGGTTAACGGTTTTATTTGAATTTAAAACAGCCATAACTTGCTCAATATTGACTTCTTCGTGTCTAATTTGGAATTTATGATCCCTCCGAATGATTTTAAGTACCCCAAATTTTTACAGATTTTTAAACGGAACAAAAATCTCTAAATGCTATTTTTGGTCTTCTCTCGAGAATTTGTTCCGTTTAAAAATCTGTAAAAATTTAGGGAACTTAAAATCATTCAGAGACATCATATATTTCAACTTAGAAACTAAAAAAGTCAATATTGAGCAAGTTATGGCAGTTTTAAATTCAAATAAAACCGTTAACCCGAACCGGTCCAGCTTTTGACCCGTACCGGTCCATTTCGTCAGCTGCGTATACCAAGGGTGTTATTGACTAAGCAGTCTTTTACAAATAATGGACATCCTGAATCAAAATATGACTGGTGTTATGGTCTCAATGAGGATGTGTTGGGGATAGGAGGCTCCTATGGAGAAATATGATTGCTATTGTTAATTAATTTATTCAAAAGTTTATTTTTTGTGATTGGGATAAAACATCACCTGAATAAACGCATTTTATTGATAGACTATGCAGAGCATAAAATCATCCATTTTATTACAAATATATATGCCATCAATTTTTAAGAATTTCAAACAATGAAATGGTTTACAGTATGTTCTTATGTTTTGTTATTTACAGGTCAAGTTGAACTTTATGCTGCCTTGCCTCCATCTTATTCACCAACTTCTCCATCTTATTCACCAACTTCTGCATCCTACGAATATTCTGCAGACATGATGCTGTGTGAAGAGGCTTATGAAGATTGTGGGACCTCAGAACCTCAAGAATTAAGTGATATGAGTATGTGTGACGATGAGAAGGAGGTGGAAAAATATATAATTGCACGATCTTATATGATAAGCGAATGTCCAGATAAATCAGAAAGTGAAGAAGATGAGGATATGGGCTTTGGATTTTTTGATGATGATGATGAAGTGTGTTCCAGCAAAGCAATGCCAGAGAGAAAGAAACCCATGGATCTCGATGATGTATACAATGAATCTGATGACATGTGTCTTCAGATGTTTGCTCCCACTCAGGAGATAGTTCATGCACAGGAACTGCCAAAGCTTAAAATGGCTTCCGAGGAGTTGATTCCAGCAGAAAATATGTCTAAACAAAGTCCTGAGAAGTCCAGTGCAGGTATTGTCCATAGAAAAATATTTGGTATGGCTGAGAGCAAATCTATGGAAAAGCCTTTACCTCCCCAACAAAATCTTGCACAAAGAGACTCTCTTTCTGTTTTGGAAGAAAGGGCATGTGACCTTTTACAGACTGCAGCAACATTTGGTGCCCCATCAGGACGAGGAAGAAGTAAAATGCCATTTAAATCTAAACCAGGGTTATCTGCACAAATGATGAAAGAAGCAGAACCACAGATATCTTTTGCTAAGAGCATCCCCATGGCTAAGCCAGCCCAAGTTATGCAACCAATGCAGCAACAACGACAGATTATTGCCCCAGCAAGAGCTTTTGGCAGTTTGTCATCAAATAAAGCAATACCATCTGATGGAATTGGAGTTGAGTCCTCACATGTTAGATTTGAATCAGCTGCCCTTGATGATTCAAGAAGATTGAATGAGAAATCTGAATACCTATCCTTTTCTAATGAACCTGTGCAATTTGGTTTTGGGTCAGCCCAAGTCAATTTGTTAGACAGGTCAGCACCACCCCCATCACCACCACCTATGACAGGTGGAGGGCTGTTTGGAGGTCCTGTATCCAGTGCATTTGGGTCAGCCTCGCCCGCTGCACCACCACCTGTGATGGGTGGAGGGTTGTTTGGAGGTCCTACATCTCATACTTTTGGGACAGTTCCACCCCCTGCACCACCCTCTGTTGCAGGTAAAGGGCTGTTTGGAAGTCCTGTATCCAGTGCATTTGGGTCAGCCCCGCCCGCTGCATCGCCACCTGCAGCAGGTGGAGGGCTGTTTGGAGGTCCCACATCTCGTGCATTTGGATCAGCCCCACCCCCTCCACCGCCACCTGTGACAGGTGGAGGGCTGTTTGGAGGTCCTGTATCCAGTGCATTTGGGTCAGCCCCTCCCGCTGCATCGCCACCTGCAGCAGGTGGAGGGCTGTTTGGAGGTCCCACATCTCGTGCATTTGGATCAGCCCCACCCCCTCCACCGCCACCTGTGACAGGTGGAGGGCTGTTTGGAGGTCCTATATCCAGTGCATTTGGGTCAGCCCCGCCCGCTGCATCGCCACCTGCAGCAGGTGGAGGGCTGTTTGGAGGTCCTACATCTCGTGTCTTTGGATCAGCCCCACCCCCTCTACCACCACCTATGACAGGTGGAGTGTCGTTTGGAAGTCCTTCATCAAATGCCTTTAGGTCAGCCCCAGCCCCTCCACCACCAACTGGTTTATCATTTGGTAGTTTTGGCTTAGAATCAGCCCCATCCCCTGCAGCAGATGATGGACAACTTGCTGATAGTATATCTTTTCCCTCTGGATCAGCTCTACCATCTAAATCTGGTGGACCATTTAGTTTAAGATCGGCTAAAAGAACAAGTTTAGCTGCTAAATGTAATATGGCTGAGAAAAGTTCAAATGCAGATGTATTAAAAGGATACCAGTCCAAAGATTTGACTATGCCTCCTGAAGTTCCATCAGCTCCTGTAGCTCCCCCTCCACTTGTACCTCCCCGTCCCTCGCAAACAGGTACCCGTGGATCATCTGAACGCATATTTTCAAATAAGGGCATCAATAGAGCTGACCCACGTCATATTCAATTATGTGCAGAACCCCAGCCTTTAATGTCATGTAAGGCTCGTGGGAGTCCTTCAAGAATGAGAGAACGATCATTAGAAAAAATGAGCATAGATGTTATACCAGTTGAGGAAGACACCCTTATGCGTTCAAGTGATGCCTTCAAGAGTGAATCATATGAGGAAGGAGCAATTGAAAACCAGAAAGATGCTAAGTTGGTGAGGAAAAAGAAGAAAAAAGCCAAATTGACTATGGATACTAGACCTGAAGCTGATATGAAGCAAGAAATAGATAAAACACAACCACGACGTATTGCAGATAAGAAAACAAGATATGATGAAGCTGAGGAATATGGAACACTATTGGAGAATGTGAACATATGTATTGACTCTGGGCATGACATAGAACTGGACCTGTTCTCCTCCGACCCTTATCAATATGACAGGCAAGGTATGATTCACTTATGCAATTATAAAAAATTGATATATGCTACCTTTACTTATCATGTCAGTAAGTATCTCTCTCTCATTTACTGTCGGATTTCTTTCTTTTGGCAAAATTGATTTTGAAGAAGAAACATTGGTGGTATTATTACAATAATAGAAGATTATCCAAATACATAATATGTTATATGACTTTTCTGTAGATTCAGATGGCTACCACAGTGGAATAGGTACACCAGTACCATCTCTAGTGTCCAGCGATTTTCACATGAACATTGAAGTCATAAAGCAACTGGTCCATCTACAAACCCAAGTAAGTTCATATGAGTTAGGTGGAGTGATTTCAACAGCTAAACAGTACTCTTGAGGAAAATAAATAGACTACAGACTTGGGAATGCAAACACTAATTAATATTTTTATTAAAAGAAGATGAGTTTATTAAAAGTTCATAAATTCATAATATATAAATATGAACATTAAATACAAATCAGAAAGCAAGAATGAATGAACAAGGCATCACACAAATATAAAACTCCATCTACAGCTGAAAACCCGGCTACCACGTTGATATCACAATTACAAAAGGGCCCTATGGATGATAGAACATGAGTCAAAATACAAAACGTAAACTGCCAAGTCCAGGCACTCATGTAAATGAAGCACATTCATCAAATTGAATATAACAATTTTACAATCATATCAATCTAATCACACACTCGCTAATTGCAATATATGTATCAATATTATATGATTTAGGAAGGCTTCTGGGAACTCACAGAAGAGATTGGTGCCTTGATAGGCGTTTCTACACTTGGGATTGAAGATCTCCTTTGCTCAGCTGGAATAAGATCACTCGGTGAGTCAATCAATGTGTAATGACACTTGCTGGACATTAGGCACCTAGACATTTATTTTCATGGCACGTGTCGAAGAGCAAAGACTTGCTGACGTCTTTGATGTATTTAATAATCAAATAACGTCACAATGTTTCTAAATTATATAATTGGCATTATTTGTTTTGACAAAATAGCCATCACTATGTTTCTAAATTATATAATTGGCATATTCTGTTTTGACAAAATAGCCATCACTATGTTTCTAAATTATATAATTGGCATATTCTGTTTTGACAAAATAACCGTCACTATGTTTCTAAATTATATAATTAGCATATTCTGTTTTGACTCGTTGTTATCAATAGCATTAATTGTTGTTTAAAATTGGCAATACTCCATTCTGATACTCCTCACATCTTTCTGTTTTACAACAAGAAGTGTCTTTCTCAGAATGATAGAAGGCCATGATAACAGTACAAGGGAGATTATCAATTGTATCTAAGTTTCTTGAATAGAGTCAAAAGTGGCTCAAAGTTTTGACAGAATGAATTCATTAATCAGTTCTTCAACATATTTTTTGTGATATTGGAGTTTGTTTTTTTCTGATTAGGGGATGAACATTTCAATGTTCTTTTTTGTGATTTTTTTTCTAACTCCCCTTTGGCACTTTAGTATTTGTACATTGTATATGTTTGCTATAAGGCTTTTCACCAATTCTAGATGACATACATCCATGTGTTAATTGTCATATGAAAGCTGTTTTGGACTTATTAAAGCAACTTTGATTTAGCTCAGCAGCTTTTACAACTTGCTACATGTACCTAATACTATAGGTGCCTATTTGATCTATGGCATGCAATCGAGCAGCTACATCTTCTAAAAAATTATCTGTGTACCCTGTTAAAACGAATGATGACCAAAGTTAAGAGCACTACTATTAGTATAGTAGGAACAAGGGGTTCCCATGCACCCATAAGGTGTGAATAAGTTACATACATTTTTGTAATCCCTAGAGTGTCTATTTAATGAATTCATTTGTTAACATTGCCAACTAATGTCCCATAGTACTTTTATGGCGGCATTCAGTTACCATGGTTACGCATCTTTAGAATCTTACCTTGGTATCTTAAATCATTTGTAGCTCTGTCATTATTTGGTCTATAGAAATGATATTGGTACTAAATTGAACCTCGTTAAATTTTCAATAAATTTCTGATATTCAATTATGCAAATTATCTAATTTGCATAAATTATGACGTCATCAATCTATTTTTGGTTCAGAATTTCCAACTATAGCAACGTATCTATTAGAACTGAGGCCGTATGGCAAAATTTCTGAAAGGTTTTGTCCTTTATTCTATTAGTAGAAGGTATAAGCAACATAAAAGTGAAAACAGATTCAAAATTGAATCAGTATTACGAAAGTTATGTACTTTTCGAGGCAGCTATCGTGAATGTCATTATTTGACAATAATATACATACATCTTACCTTGGAGTCTTGAATCAATGTAGCTTCGCCATTATTTGGTCTATAGAGATGATATTGGTATCTGATTAAACCTTATTAAATTTACTATATGGTTACAATATTCAGTTATGCAAATTAGCTAATTTGCATTAATTGTGACGTCATCAATCCATTTTTGGTTCAGAATATCCTAGTATAGCAACATATCTATTAGAACTGAGGCCATATGACAGAACGTGTGCATAGTTTTGTCCCTTATTTGATGAGTGGAAGATATAAGCAACATTAAAGAGACAACAAATCTTCAAAATTGGATCAGAATTAACAAAATTATCCAGCTTTGGAGGCAGCTACTGTGAACGTCATTGTTTGACAATTTTAAAAATAATATTAAATTAACAAAAAAAGTAACAACCATAGTTGTTTCAATCTTATTGAGTAAAAATGTGCATGTATTGAACTGAACTAATAAGTGTGTGGAAAGGTTACATGTATTTTGACTATCATTCACAAGGGTCAAAACGGTTATTTCTACCCTGTATATTAAAGATCCAATTTTATAATTTACCATGCATCATATTCTTCATATTCTTGATTCTTAAAGTGTCTGAAGTATAAAGCATGATTAGAAGTGAAGATGATTCATCATATGGTTTATGTAATATTTCTAACATTTCAGATGCTATGGTAACATCACTTGATAATGAGGTTTTTACATTTCATGTTCTTAATGAGTTAAAAGAAAGTTATTCTCCCTTTGCTTAGAGATAAATAGTCACATGAATTTGTTTAAAAAATTATAACTTAATTTAACCCCCTCCTGACAGCCCCCGTATTCGAAGATTTTGGTGAAACCTGGCAAAATACATTAATTATTAGGTTCCAGAAGCCCCCCAGAAGCTATATGATGGCCCCCAGTGGCCCCAAGAATCTATACAGGGGCCCCAAGTGGCCCCCAGAAGATATACGATGGCCCCCAGAAGCTATACAAGGGCCCACAGAAACTATACTGTGGTCTCCAGAAGCTATATGGTGGCCCCCAGTGGCCCTCAAAAGCTATATGATGGCCCCCAGAAGCTAATTAGTGGCCCCCAGGAGCTATATGGTGGCACCCAGAAGCTATACAGGGAACCCCAGTGGCCCCAAGAAGCTATACGATGGCCCCCAGAAGCTATACTATGGCCCCCAGAAGCTATACAAGGGCCCCCAGAAACTATACTATGGTCTCCAGAAGCTATATGGTGGCCCCCAGTGGCCCCTTTGAATCTATACAGGGGCCCCAAGTGGCCCCCAGAAGGTATACGATGGCCCCCAGAAGCTATACAAGGGCCCACAGAAACTATACTGTGGTCTCCAGAAGCTATATGGTGGCCCCCAGTGGCCCTCAAAAGCTATATGATGGCCCCCAGAAGCTAATTAGTGGCCCCCAGGAGCTATATGGTGGCACCCAGAAGCTATACAGGGAGCCCCAGTGGCCCCAAGAAGCTATACGATGGCCCCCAGAAGCTATACTATGGCCCCCAGAAGCTATACAATGGCCCCCAGAAACTATACTATGGTCTCCAGAAGCTATATGGTGGCCCCCAGTGGCCCCTTTGAATCTATACAGGGGCCCCAAGTGGCCCCCAGAAGGTATACGATGGCCCCCAAAAGCTATACAAGGGCCCACAGAAACTATACTGTGGTCTCCAGAAGCTATATGGTGGCCCCCAGTGGCCCTCAGAAGCTATATGATGGCCCCCAGAAGCTAATTAGTGGCCCCCAGGAGCTATATGGTGACACCCAGAAGCTATACAGGGGACCCCAGTGGCCCCAAGAAGCTAAACGATGGCCCCTAGAAGCTATACAGGAGCCCCAAAAAGCTACATGATGGCCCCAAGAATCTATATGATGGCCCCCAATGGCTCCCAGAAGCTATACAGGGCCCCCAGTAGCCCCTAGAAGCTATACGGTAGCCCCCAAAGCTATATGGTGGCCCATTGGGGGACACTGTATAGCTTCTGGAGGCCATCGTATAGCTTATGGGGCTACCGTATAGTTTCTGCGGGCCCTTGCATAGCTTCTGGGGGCCATCTTATAGCTTCTGGGAGCCACTGGGGGCCCCTGTATAGCTTCTGGGGGCTACAGTACAGTTTCTGCAGGCCCTTGCATAGCTTCTGGGGGCCATCGTATAGCTTCTGGGAGCCACTGTGGGCCCCTGTATAGCTTCTGGGGGCCACTATATAGCTTTTGGGGCCACTGAGGGCCACCGTATAGCTTCTAGGGGCTACTGAGGGGCCCTTTATAGCTTCAGGGAGCCATTGGGGGCCATATAGATTCTGGGGGCCATTGTGTAGCTTCTGGGAACCACCATGTAGCTCCTGAGGGTCACTATTTAGCTTCTGGGGGCCATCATATAGCCTATGAGGGCCACTGGGGGCCACCATATAGCTTCTAGGGGCTATTGGGGGCCCTTCACATCTTCTGGGAGCCATTGGGGGCCATCATATACATTCTTGGGGCCATCATGTAGCTTTTTGGGGCTCCTGTATAGCTTCTGGGGGCCATCGTTTAGCTTCTTGGGGCCACTGGGGTCCCCTGTATAGCTTCTGGGAGCCACCGTATAGCTCCTGGGGGCCACTAATTAGCTTCTGGGGGCCATCATATAGCTTCCGAGGGCCACTGGGGGCCACCATATAGCTTCTGGAGACCATAGTATAGTTTCTGGGGGCCCTTGTATAGCTTCTGGGGGCCATAGTATAGCTTCTGGGGGCCCCCGTGTAGCTTCTGGGGGCCACCGTATAGCTTCTGGGGGCCACCTCTATAGCTTCTGGGCGCCACCGTATAGCTCCTGCGGGCCACAGGGTTTCCTGTATAGCTTCTGGGAGCCACCGTATAGCTCCTGGGGGCCACTATTCAGCTTCTGGGGGCCAACATATAGCTTTTGGGGAGCACAGTTTAGCTTCTGGGGGCCACTTGGGGCCCCTGTATAGATTCTTGGGGCCACTGGGGGCCATCATATAGCTTCTGGGGGCTTCTGGAACCTAATAATTAATGTATTTTGCTTTCACCAAAATCTTCAAATATGGGGGCTGTCAGGTGGGGGGGTGGTTAAATTAATTAAGTTATAATTTTTCTAAACATGCGACTATTTATCTCTAAAGCAAAGGGAGAATAACTTCCTTTTAACTCATTAAGAACGTGAAATGTAAAAACCTCATTATCAAGTGATGTTACCATAGCATCTGAAATGTTAGAAATATTACATAAACCATATGATGAATCATCTTCACTTCTAATCATGCTATATACTTCAGATGCTTTAAGAATCAAGAATATGAAGAATATGATGAAAATCAGACTACATGTATACAATTTATATGAATCATTGAAAGTGCATGGTAAATTATAAGATTGGATCTTTGATATACAGGGTCGAGATAACCGTTTTGACCCCTGTGAATGATAGTCAAAATGCATGTAACCTTTCCACATACTTATTAGTTCAGTTTAATACATGCACATTTTTACTCAATAAGATTGAAACAACTATGGTTGTTACTTTTTTTGTTAATTTAATGTTCTTTTTATAATTGTCAAACAATGACGTTCACGGTAGTTGCCTCCAAAGCTGGATAATTTTGTTAATTCTGATCCAATTTTGAAGATTCGTTGTCTCTTTAATGTTGCTTATATCTTCCACTCATCAAATAAGGGACAAAACTATGCACACATTCTGTCATACGGCCTCAGTTCTAATAGATATGTTGCTATACTACGATATTCTGAACAAAAAATGGATTGATGACGTCGCAATTAATGCAAATTAGCTAATTTGCATAACTTAATATTGTAACCATATAGTAAATTTAATAAGGTTTAATCAGATACCAATATCATCTCTATAGACCAAATAATGGCGAAGCTACATTGATTCAAGACTCCAAGGTAAGACGTATGTATATTATTGTCAAATAATGATATTCACGATAGCTGCCTCGAAAGTTACATAACTTTCGTAATACTGATTCAATTTTGAATCTGTTTTCACTTTTATGTTGCTTATACCTTCTACTAATAGAATAAAGGACAAAACCTTTCAGAAATTTTGCCATACGGCCTCAGTTCTAATAGATACGTTGCTATAGTTGGAAATTCTGAACCAAAAATAGATTGATGACGTCATAATTAATGCAAATTAGATAATTTGCATAATTGAATATCAGGAATTTATTGGAAATTTAACAAGGTTTAATTTGGTACCAATATCATTTCTATAGACCATATAATGACAGAGCTACAAATGATTTAAGATACCAAGGTAAGATGTCTAAAGATGCGTAACCATGGTAACTGAATGCCGCCATAAAAGTACTATGGGACATTTGTTGGCAATGTTAACAAATGAATTCATTAAATAGACACCCTAGGGATTACAAAAATGTATGTAACTTATTCACACCTTATGGGTGCATGGGAACCCCTTGTTCCTACTATACTATATTTAATCTATAGTAATGTACCAATTTGATGTATTTATTAGATATAAAGAACTACCTAGAGAGCTATAAATGATATAATGCATTATACAATTATCTACTCTTCTCTTCATATACATTACAGATGGCAGTCATAAATCGAGCAAATTAGGGTTAACTACCAAACTTGAGCTCACAAATTACTTTTCCAATAATAAATCATGCCAATATTTAGACATGAAGTCCAAAATTCAATAGGATTTATTAATATAGTACATAATGGGCCATGTGATCTTAGGATTGATTGTGGATGGGGAAGTCATTATGAAACACCCTTTATATAGAGGATAACCTACATTTTTTGAGGGATATTATTTTAATTGAGAAGTGGATATTGGCAATCTCCATATATGCAAGGATAAAAATGACACCTGATAAAAGATATCATATTTATCCTATAAATTTCCAAATATTACAATGCACACTAACTTTGTATATGTTGTCCTATTTATAAATGTCGTGAATATATTTATCTCCAGGCAACAAGGTATCAACAAATATGAAGAGACTTTTATGCTCTCTATTGACTGTTCTCCGAATTATGCAATATCTTCGCCCAGAACTATTGGACTCAATATCATCAAAGCTGAAAGAAATCCACACTCTTCAAACATACATCACTGAAGTTATCAACACACTATGTACTGATATGGAGTCTAATATGCCATATATTGAGAATGTTATAAAGGCATTGATGTTCATTGCTTTGGTGGATAAGACTTATCCCTTGGTATATAGTACCCTAGAACTTGGGCATAGCTGGGCAGAGGTTGGTGTTAAGATATTGGGAATGTAGCAGTTGTAAGAAAATTGAGAAACAAGGGAAGACTTACAACTTTACAATGATGCAACTGCTTAATCAGCGTGTGTCAAAATTATGGACATGTTGCTATGTATATATTATGAAGTAGCAAATCAACCAGCTCAATTCTTTTTAACTAACTGCTTGAAAGTCTCAGGACTGGTGCTTATGTTCCACTGCTTACTGACATAATTAATAAAGTGTTAAGCATATTAGCCATGAACGTCTTTTATTATAAAATAGCGTTCAAATAAAATTAAAAAACAATGTGAAGGTTGATAATGTGAAATAATCTTAATGTATCAATTGTGCAGTAAAATGGTTAATATATAAATGGTGCCCACTTAGAGTCTTGTGGACGGTGTTCAGTGGTTGGTGTTTGGTGGTTATCATTCAGTGTTTGGTGATTGGACATTGGCGTCTGTATAAAATGAATTTTGTGACATTCTGCATGTTGTTGTTTTGTTATTAATTTAATATACGTTTTATCAATATAACTGAAAGTTTAGTTAATATACATGTATAGTCATATTATGTATTTTACATTGTATATTATTTTTACCATTTTTATGAGGAAGGCAAAAGAAACATTCCAAATAAGAAAGAAACAATATCCTTGTAGGAATGTGCATATGCCATCGAAAACAAAGCAAAAATGACATCACTGGTGATCCGCTCGATTACACTGGTTACCGAAACGGTTCGTTTCAGTGCAGATCTTAACTGTTTTTCTAAAAACCGTTTATGTATAACTTTAAGTGAGGAATTAAATCGACGATTCTGTTGTCTTTTGAACTATTTGTTCGCAAATATGTACATTTTCTTAAATGTGTTAAAATGTGGGAATTCTGCCTACAACTGTGAAATAAGGAAAAAAAGAGAAATCGTCCATTCGATGTTCCGACATACATGTAACTAGTGTAATCGAGTGGATCACCAGTGGACATGCACTTCGGGTGTCTACAAAGCAAAGACCTAAGACCTAAGACCTACAAAACTAAGACCCCCCACTGTTATAAAACTAAGACCCTGTTATAAAACTAAGACCCCCCACGTTATAAAACTAAGACCCTGTTATAAAACTAAGACCCCCCACGTAATAAAACTAAGACCCTGTTATAGAACTAAGACCCCCCACATTATAAAACTAAGACCCTGTTATAAAACTAAGACCCCCCACGTTATAAAACTAAGACCCTGTTATAAAACTAAGACCCCCCACGTTATAAAACTAAGACCCTGTTATAAAACTAAGACCCCCCACGTAATAAAACTAAGACCCTGTTATAAAACTAAGACCCCCCACATTATAAAACTAAGACCCTGTTATAAAACTAAGACCCCCCACGTTATAAAACTAAGACCCTGTTATAAAACTAAGACCCCCCACGTAATAAAACTAAGACCCTGTTATAAAACTAAGACCCCCCACATTATAAAACTAAGACCCTGTTATAAAACTAAGACCCCCCACGTTATAAAACTAAGACCCTGTTATAAAACTAAAACCCCCCACGTTATAAAACTAAGACCCTGTTATAAAACTAAGACCCCCCGAGTAATAAAACTAAGACCCTGTTATAAAACTAAGACCCCCCACATTATAAAACTAAGACCCTGTTATAAAACTAAGACCCCCCACGTTATAAAACTAAGACCCTGTTATAAAACTAAGACCCCCCACGTTATAAAACTAAGACCCCCACGTTATAAAACTAAGACCCCCCACGTTATAAAACTAAGACCCTGTTATAAAACTAAGACCCTGTTATAAAACTAAGACCCCCCACGTAATAAAACTAAGACCCTGTTATACAACTAAGACCCCCCACGTTATAAAACTAAGACCCTGTTATAAAACTAAGACCCCCCACGTTATAAAACTAAGACCCTGTTATAAAACTAAGACCCCCCACGTTATAAAACTAAGACCCTGTTATAAAACTAAGACCCCCCACGTTATAAAACTAAGACCCTGTTATAAAACTAAGACCCCCCACGTTATAAAACTAAGACCCTGTTATAAAACTAAGACCCCCCACGTTATAAAACTAAGACCCTGTTATAAAACTAAGACCCCCCACGTTATAAAACTAAGACCCTGTTATAAAACTAAGACCTCCCACGTTATAAAACTAAGACCCTGTTATAAAACTAAGACCCCCCACGTAATAAAACTAAGACCCTGTTATAAAACTAAGACCCCCCACATTATAAAACTAAGACCCTGTTATAAAACTAAGACCCCCCACGTTATAAAACTAAGACCCTGTTATAAAACTAAGACCCCCCACGTTATAAAACTAAGACCCTGTTATAAAACTAAGACCCCCCACGTTATAAAACTAAGACCCTGTTATAAAACTAAGACCCCCCACGTTATAAAACTAAGACCCTGTTATAAAACTAAGACCCCCACGTTATAAAACTAAGACCCTGTTATAAAACTAAGACCCCCCACGTTATAAAACTAAGACCCTGTTATAAAACTAAGACCCCCCACGTAATAAAACTAAGACCCTGTTATAAAACTAAGACCCCCCACGTTATAAAACTAAGACCCTGTTATAAAACTAAGACCCCCCACGTAATAAAACTAAGACCCTGTTATAAAACTAAGACCCCCCACGTTATAAAACTAAGACCCTGTTATAAAACTAAGACCCCCCACGTAATAAAACTAAGACCCTGTTATAAAACTAAGACCCCCCACGTTATAAAACTAAGACCCTGTTATAAAACTAAGACCCCCCACGTTATAAAACTAAGACCCTGTTATAAAACTAAGACCCCCCACGTTATAAAACTAAGACCCTGTTATAAAACTAAGACCCCCCACGTTATAAAACTAAGACCCTGTTATAAAACTAAGACCCCCCACGTTATAAAACTAAGACCCTGTTATAAAACTAAGACCCCCCACGTAATAAAACTAAGACCCTGTTATAAAACTAAGACCCCCCACATTATAAAACTAAGACCCTGTTATAAAACTAAGACCCCCACGTTATAAAACTAAGACCCTGTTATAAAACTAAGACCCCCCCCACGTTATAAAACTAAGACCCTGTTATAACACTAAGACCCCCCACGTTATAAAACTAAGACCCTTTTATAAAACTAAGACCCCCCATGTAATAAAACTAAGACCCCCCATGTAATAAAACTAAGACCCTGTTATAAAACTAAGACCCCCCACGTTGTAAAACTAAGACCCTGTTATAAAACTAAGACCTCCCACGTTATAAAACTAAGACCCTGCTATAAGAATCAGTCACCGTGCCTTGCTCTGCTCGCCACAAGGTAGTCTTGCCTCTGGGCCTTGTGTTCCCCAGTAACATACAACAGTGGATTATATAAAAATTGACTGTAACAAATACCCGGATTTGTTGATTTTTAAAAAAAGTAATTTTTTGATATCACTTTTTATGCCCGGCATAAAAAGTGATGTCCCATTTTATGCTGGCATAAAAAGTGATATCCCATTTTATGCTGGCATAAAAAGTGATGTCCCATTTTATGCTGAGCATAAAAAGAGATACTCCATTTTATGCTGGTATTGTTTTGGAAGTGATGTTTAATGGTAGTTCAAGATTTAAGACCCATCATTCTGGCACAGATTGCTGAACCATTGTTAGTTAAGAATTCCTAATAGAATTAAGAATTATTAGCTGAAACTGAGTTGTTTTGCCCTAGCAAACAATTTTCCAACTTGTAGTTCAACTTCTTCTGTCTATTTGTTGACAGTCTGTGATGTCATCATCAATCATCACAATAGAAATGAGGTAATTCACGATGACATCACAAAGAACTCTGATGACATCATCAATCATCACAATGGAAACGAGATAATTCATGATGACATCACAAAGCATCTCTGTCATAGATAACACTCTGCCACATTTCTTAGAAATCAAACTACTATGTGACATCATAGATAATCTCACTGTCACAGATAGAATTCACCTAATTCCCATTGTGATGATTGATGATGACATCACAGACTGTCAACACATATAGACAAAAATGAATTTCAAATACATATTGGGATATTGTTTGCTAGGACAAACAGAACAGTTTCAGCTATTAATTCTTAATTCTATTAGGAATTCTCAACTAAAATAAGTTCAGCAATCTATGACCATCAGACTGATAGTCACAATTTTACAGCACTTTGAATAACATGCTTCAAGTTTGGCCATCATCGCGCTGTAGGCAAACCTGCACAGTTGTCAATGGGCCGAATGCACTCCTCAGCAGGTATGGCCTGAATGATACGGATGGTCTCACTTTTGAGGTTTGTGATTGTCCTGAGGTCATTCTCATACACTTTTTCCTTGCCATATCCCTACAGGTAGGGACATCTTGGACGGCCAGTGCAGGTGGCCCGACAACGCAATAGTGGCCACTAGGGCATGTTCTGTAAAGTGCTGTAACATTGTGACTATCAATCTGATGGTCATGATATAAAGTAGGCTGGTAGGAAATTGAATGATGTACAAATGTGCAAAATATCAGGGAGTTATGTCTTAAAATGACAAATATATGAGGAAAATAGTGTAAGGGTTTCCATTTTTTGACCACCCTGTATGTTTTCAATTTTCCAAATATTATTATTAATTTTAACTAACGTCCGAACGTTGTTTGAGGGATCGAAAAAGGTCCACTTTTGCTTGGCCTTTGAAATTTCATAACATATTCGAATTTGCTGCTGTTTTAGTAAAACGTTTGTTATCAAATACGACCCAAAACATCGTTTGTTACGAGGTTCCATTGTTGCATTGTATCACTAGTCTTATGTGCATGGCTAAAACATCATTAAAACATCAAATAAAATTTAATAAAAAATAAACTTCAATAAAAAGATTGATCTCATTTGTTATAGTGTCTGATGTTAGAATGCGAAAATCACCATTGACATTTACATGCCTTTGCTCTAAAATGGACAACACAGCAATTACTAAGTTAACCATTGAAGCATGGATTGTATAGAACTCGACGTACTCGTTCTTCACATCCCATTGAAGGTTTTTAAGCCCTTTGGTCTACATTTTGTAATGCGTTATACAATCTACGGTGTATTCGATGATCTTTTACTGTAAAAATGCAAAAAAACAATTCCAAACCTCATGATCAATATATTTTTGATATGATAAATATTAAATGAAAGGGAAAAACATGGTAGTTTAAAAACTTTGCACGGCCGGGTGAAGACGTTCGTGTACACTGATCGATTAGTTCTTAATGGTACGTACATTTCAGACCCCCTTGACCAGTTGACAGTCGGAGTCTCTGTGGGGCCTATCCTTGCCAGAAAATATCGTAAATTATGATTGTTATAATTGAATTGTCTAACAAAAAGCCTTGTTACAAGTGAAGGACGAGAGTCTTAATTTACATGCAATGTTTTTTCCGACTTTAGGTCTCAGAGAGACAATGCCTGT